AACCAGAGACTCAAAATCCTCAGTCTTGAGAATCCATTCTTATAGGAATTAATTCCTATGTTAGTCTATGGGAACTGTTTCATTCTGCTGTTGCTGACTCAATTAGCAGATGGCACATTCCTGGACACATTCTTGGTGGCTCCAAACTGTCCAAAGTTTGTGTTTCTCATCCTTCCAGGTGATGGAGTGGGTCCCAGTTTACCCACCGGGGGTTGTCTGGTCATCCACTTGACACATTCTTCGGCCGATGGATACTCCCTTTCTAGGCTGGCGCCTCCCTAACCATTCATGTATATCAAGCATTCATCAGCATACATTCCATATCTTAACCATATTTTAATTTACTGTCTCCACCACTTTCGGGGTGTGTGCTAATTCATTTGAGACTCCCGGCCCTTTAATCACAGAGGGTGGGGGTCTGTCTTAGGAGCTGTTGCTATTACAATGAAGTGAAAGTCACTTAATGGTTTATAGTGTTTGTTTACATTGTATCAATTACTTCAAGAACAAACTCAATTAACTTGTTTGTAAGTTTTACATAGTAATAAAGTATCTTTCACAGGATAGATACAATCAATGGTTTCTACAGACAGTAGCTTACAAATTTTAACAGAAGACCCAAGAGATTTTTGTACTTGGTGAAACTGTTAGATTTTAAAGTGTGGGGGAGAAATTATGAGGGGGTCACTGTCACTTGCGGGAATCACTGTTAGTACCTTCTTTAATATCCCTACACCCCAAAGTCCCCGCCCCAACTCTGACCCCTTCCTGCCCCTATTCCAACCCCTTCCCCAAATCCCCGCCCCAGCCCCGCCTCTTCTCCACCTCCTCCCCTCAGCATGGGGCTCTCTGCTCCTCCCACTCCCTCCTGGAAAGCGCTAAGCACTGGCAAACAGCTGTTTAGCATCGGGAAGAGCCTGGAGGTAGGCAGAGGAGCGGGGATGCGGTGCACGGTGGGGGGGGGAGAAGCGGGAGAGGGGGTGGGCAGCTTGGAACCCCTGCTTTAAAGGATATGCTCTAGCTGAACTACAAGTCACTAGGCTAGCTGCAGACATCAATGGGTGCAATGCTGTGGCCTGTACTACACAGGAGGTCAGACTAGATGATTATAATAGTCCAGTCTGTCCTTAAACTCTGTTAATCTACTTGTACCAAATAATAGTAGAAAGTTAGCCCTTTTCTTCTCCTTCTCATAAATTAGCGTTGAGTAGACTTTGATTTTGAAAATGTGTTAATGATTTGAAACTGTACAACCCATGAACAAATATGAAGAAATTTCAGCCTATGGGTTGTTTATGAGCTATTTGCTTCGTCAATGTCTTCAACTCCTCGTTACTAGTTTTTCATGCTGTTAAGCGGCTACCTTCCGCTGCGTCCCTGGGTATCTTAGAAACAGGAAAAAATAAATTAAAGAGATTTCGAGAGGGCCTTGAACACTTATGGTGGGATCCAAAAGGTATTTAAGTGCCTAAACCCCAGACTTAGGCACCTAAGTCTCAGGATTAGGTACCAAAATCCCAGTTTTCACTCCATTGTGATCCACAAAACTCCTTCTAAACCCTGAAGGTGCTAAACTCACTTGGCACCAAAGTTTTCAGGGTAGAAGTTCCTTAGGTGCCTACGTTACTGCCTCTGAGCACAAGCACCATTGCCTCACCCTAGGTGTCCAGAATCCAGATGCCTATCTCCCACCTAAGCCCCAGAGTGAATCACGAACTGAGAGAGGATAGGCATTCAGTTGCCTATCTCATGTGCAGGGCCCAATCTGAGAGGCAGCTTCTGAGCGTGTCTACTGAATCGGGTCCCATTGGTCTCTCTAGCCCAATAACTATTTAATGATTTACCTACATTGTAACAGTTGTTGGGCTAGAGAGCAAGAGAATGACTCCCTAGCCTGGTGGTTAGGGCATGCTTCTGGGACATGGGAGAACCAGGGGCCAGTCCCCCTGCTCTGATCACTCTTTCATTATTTATCCCCAGTGGAACAGCTTCAACAGAAGAGACTGAAGGAGCCCCATGTCAGAATATCCCATATTTCATGCTTAGAGCACCCTCCTAAGGGGTGGGAGATCCCTGTTCAAATTGTTCCCCCTCTGGAAGAGAGGGAGGAATCGAACCTAGGTCTCCCCACATCCCAGGTGAGTGCTTTAACCACTGGGTTAAAGGTTCTAATGTGGGCGGCAGCATCACCTCCTCCACCAGCCATTTTGTGTGGAGGCAGGTGCCTAACTCATTCCTGCAAGAAATGCCTTAGCCACCTATGCTGCCTGACCCTAAAGGCCACCCTATAGTTATTGGGTTCCTGTTTGTGAATTGCTGAGTAGAGCTAGATGCCTATCTCTGAGAGAGGAGACGGGCTTAGCACACACTCCTCTGATCCGTGTCCCACTATTACCTAGCTTAGGTGGCTCCCTGTCTAGCATTGGTGGCTTTTGTGGATTCCATTGCAAAGTGCCTGTCTCTCTCCATTCATTGTATAAGGAGCCTAGGCACCTAACTCATCTCTGTTGTTCCTGTGATTTTTCTAGGTATCTAAAAGTTAGGCACCATGATGCTCAGTTTTGCAAAGCCTAAGTCCCTTTGTGGATCCCACCCTTAGAATATAGCACTGTGCAAATGCATTTGTACACGTATTTGTGAGTCGAGTTAAGTGAATAATTGATTTTTTGGTTCAGTGTCTAAACTGAAAAATCTGGAAAAAAATTTGGTTAGTTTCAAACAAAGTGAATTCTCACTGAAACCAAACCAAACAAAAAACATTGTGTTTGGGTTGAACAAAATATTTAGACTGTCATTTCATTTTGCAAATGTTGTTTTGAAACAAAATGGCAAAAGGGATAGTTTAAAAAAATGAATATTTTTTCAGGGTTCGTTCAGCCAAACCTGTTCATCAAATTCAACCCAAGTAATAGTTTTAGTGCCCCTCAACATGCATTTTTTGGCAAATTTACTATTCACTGAATTATTATTATTATTTGCCCTGTTCTACTTGGGAGGCCTTTGCTTTCTGAAGAAATGCAAAACTTCTTGCAAAAATGGCTCTCATGTTTGTATAGACAAATAAAACAGGTTGTGAGCTCTGAAGTGAATTCATGATTTTATATTCAAACAAATCTCCACCGTTACATTTGGTAGTATTTGCCCAGCTCCAGTGAGAACACTTCCTATGATAGACTGCTCTCAAATCAAAACAGGTATGACTGTGCATCGATTGTGTCTGATCCATAATGTAAAGCAGCACAAAAGAAGGTATTGTGTAGATAGTAGAACTTGCATATTCGATATTAAAATTCTGCCTGGCTGGAATATAACTATCTGTCACACTTATGTACATTATTACATGAATAATGGAACGTTATGCTCTTACTAGGCTGGTCAGCCATCAGCCTATTCTGTGAAAATATTAGATTACCAGTTCAGGGTCTTCTTAATGGAGAAGATTTCTGCTGAACATCCTGTACCTAACTGGCTTGGAAAAATGTTTGAAACATTTCCAGTGCTTTATATAGTCTGTCAGCGGAGGCTACTCAGAATTGTCCTGTTCTGAGTCACCACATAGTAAACAGAAACAAAACAATGTAATCCACAAGTAGCACAGCAACTGTATTTTGTATATACTGTATCTATTTTAATAATAAACTTTTTGATGATTATTGCACACCTCAACAGATTGCATAAGCTGTATTAAATTCATTAAATTGTACCTTCTTTGCTCATCAGCCTGAACAAGAGGTGATATGATGTCTGACATCAGTAGAATTGATAGGCGCTAAGTACTGTATATAGATGTAGGTATCTGCTAGAAGTTTGGAGCAGACACACCAACCTCAGATGAATATTTTCATGAACAAGATACTATGGGCCTGATGCTGTACTCCATTAAATCTACTGTCCTGTAGTGGAGACTTAGACCTGGAGCTTTAAAGGAGCG